CAGCGGCACAACAAGTCAGCAGAACAGCAGTAAGGAGAAGAAGCAGTCAGCAGTAGCAGCACCCTATACTTATCATTAGTGTAAGAAATGAAGCTACACTTTTCTCACAAAAAAAAAAAACAAGAAAGCTTGAATTAAGCAACACAATATAAATTAAGCATCAGTAAAATAGCAACATCCATACCTTTCTAATTAGATGCAAAACTTTCATCTATCACCTCTTTACCAATTTCAAGGACGTCTTCTTCAATATCACAATCATAACCACGTAACCAATTTTGTGTGGTAACCAACGCCTCAACATTCTTAGGCAAAAGTGCACTCCTATACTTGTTTAAAATACGACCACCCATGCTAAAAGAAGACTCAGAGGCTATCGATGTAATAGGAATGGCCAAAACATCCCTAGCCATAATAGCTAATATGGGGTACACATTAATTTGAGATTCCCAATACTTGAGAACATCATAATTCTGCCCTTCAATTTGATGGTTGACAAGGAGTATTCAAATAATTATCAATCTCCATCGATGGTCGATTTAGGCTATCATCAACATCAACATCCTAGAAAAGTGCAAAAAATATGCTTTTATTAAATAATAAAAATTAAGACATATAATTATTATTTTAGTAAACCACAATAAACAGAAAATGATTACCTTGAATATATCATCATCATCCAAGAGACTATTTGATTTATCAACCCCAATAGGGATGGAGGGGGGAACAATTGTACTTGACTTAAAACCGGAACACATAGAAGAATAAAAGTTATACAACTCCAAAAGAGCATCTTTAATCACCTTCGCCTTTTCAACACATGCCTCCTCAACATAAAGCACTTTCAACATATCGTCAATCGAAAAAGCTTATAGCGAGGATCAAGAACAATAGCTATTGAAAGGATCAAACTATAGTCATCCCAATAGCCCTCAAACTTTTCAAGCATAACTTTTGCTATGGGTGCAAGTTTAGGGTCTATATGGGCTTTAGTTATTGTGTGCTCAATTTTCAAAAACACTAGCAAAATACAAATTTGCGGTAGGATATTCAGAACCAGAAAATAACATAGTGATTTCATAAAATGGCTTTAGGAAATGACATATTTTTGCAAGGGTATCCCATTCATCATCCGAAAGTTTGAATTCATAACCCATATACTTATCGATAACCACTTTCAAGGCTTCCTTTGCTTCTAAAGCTTTTCGGAGCATCGTATAGGTGGCATTCCAACGAGTCACAACATCAAGACGTAACTTACCGTTAAATAGACAGTTAACCTCAGAAAGAGCATGCTCAAATTGAGTAAGTCTAGAGTCCGAAGAATCAATATATTTACAAACCTCACGCAATTTTGAACACTACTATCAACTTCTTTCAAACCTCTTTGAACAATAATGTTCAAGACATGAACTGAACATCGAATATGAAAAAATTTACCATTACAAGGAAGAGGAGAAGTCAACATTAAATCTTTCTTCAAAAGTTTAACCATAACATCCATAGATCGAGCATTATCAACAGTAATTGCAAAAGCTTTACCCTGAAGGTTCCACTCCCCAATAAGTTTAAACACAAATTTTTCTATCTCAACACCAGTATGAGGAGGATCACAATATCTAAAATTCAGAATTTTAGACCTTAGACACCAATTTTTATCAACATAATGTGCAGTTAAAGTGAGATAACCTTGATTAGTGCATGCTGTCCACAAGTCACAAGTGAAGCTAACTCTACCTTCAATTCCAGAAAAAGATTGCAACAACAAGGACTTAAACTTATCATGCTCAGCAATACAATATTTCAACATAGTGTTTCTACACACATGCTTCACATTAGGATTCAGATTCGTAAAAACTTCCCTAAGGCCATGATGCTCCACAATATTTAAAGGATAGGAATGCAAAATTATAGCTCTAGCAAGCAATTTTAAATGACGAGTTTGATTAAACGTAGGATCAACAACACTTTCAAGATTTGCAGGATGATGTATATTTTTACCCATGCATGCCTTAGTATGAGCTTTACAAGTGGAAGTACCAGCCTTACCTGGTGCTTTATATTCATTACCGCAAACATTGCATCGCGCATATCTTATCGGAGCAAGACCAACAATCTTATCAAAAAAGGTGTAATGCCTCCACACATCTGATGTTCGTCCACGCTTACTACCACTAGTGGTAGTGACTTGTTGCTGAGAAGAATCTTGATTCTGAATAGTGTTTTGAGAATCTGAAGTTTCTAAATAATCTTGTCTGTCCTCATCATAATTTTCATACCCTTGATCCATTGCTGAAAAAACAGGATCAAAACAACACATTTTAGCCTTATAACAAATAATTGTCCCTATCAATGCTAACACATTTAGGTACTTTTTACACTCTAGTTAAGAGTCGAAAACCCATTACATTGAGATGTACACTTAATAGTGAAACCAACAAATAGAATAGAGAGTGAAAAGTCATTAATCCCATATTATTTTTCTATAAACGCTAATAAACTCATATAATCAAATTTCAGTAGCAACCCATTAATTTTTAACTACCAGAAAATTAAATAAGATGAACCCATATTATATACTATTACCACTAACTTACAATTATACAATTATATACTCATTAAGGGGAATTATAACTATAATAATGCAAAATGTAGTGGACAACTATGTTATATAGTGTGGTAGCTTAGAAAACCTAAATTTTAATGTCAAATTTGATTATTGGTCTTTCACTCTTTCCTGTTCAATTCTTTAATCTTGATTCATTTTGATTGATATGCAAACAATAATGCAAAGCAGTCAAGAAATACAACCGTCAAATACTAACTAACTTAAGATAAACCACTAATCAGAGTTATACAGTAAACCACTAAATTACAATTATACAATTATATACTCATTAAATCAACTACAACTTTAATTCTTCTATTTCATAAATCAGATTAAATCAGTTGCAAGAAGTACGAGGAAAAGATATATCATACCTGGACAAAAAAAGAGAGATTTAGAGCAGCAACAACACTGATAAGCGAGGATTAGAGCAGCAACAACACCGATGAGTAGCAACAACGAACGAAAGGTGCCGTGAATGAATTAGGGAGAATTGAAAATGAATGAGAGAGACGACAAACGAAGAGGCGCCGTGAATGACTGAGTGAGATCTGAGAGGAGATGAGAGAGAGAAAGAACTAGGAGGCGTGAAAGTGAAAGTGGAATTAGGGTATCAAAATGGTTGAGATGTAAATCTAACCATTGATTTTTTAATCTATGGTTGAGAATGGTGATCCGTGTGTGTTGTGGGGAAAAAAAGCTAACCGTAGATTGTTTTTAATCTATGGTTGAGAGTGGTGATCCGTGTGTGTTGTGGGAGAAAAAAATTAACCGTAGATTGTTTTTGATCTATGGTTGAGTCTGATTAGATGATGTTTTGTGTATTGTGTATTCATTTGATCGGGATCAGTCTCCAAGACGCGTATTAAAACATCTACGTAGTATATCTTTATTTTCATACAAGTAAAAATTATAAAAACGTTATATTAATAAAATATATAATGATACAAATTTAAAAAGATCACTCATGAAGTCATGACTCATGACTCATGAGTCTCGTGACAAAATTAAGTTTTACTATTTTATAGATTAGTGGTAATTTATGGTCATTATTTTCAAAGTTTGACCCCAAAAATGACAAAGGGACAAAATAAAGGGACGGATGGAGTATTAAAATAATAGTTAGAGATGGTGTAGATCATTATACTTAAACTACACGAACAATGATCCTAATTTAATTTAAAACAACAGCTCAAGTTATTGATCCAATCAAAATAATGTTCACTAATTTATAACTTTGTACTAATACATACGAAGTATTTAACTATGAGATGGTTAGATGCTATGCGTTAATGTGTACATACGATCGATTGAACTAATCAATATTACCTTGTTAATAAATCATTAATGTTTTCTTTCATTACACAAATCAAACTACTTTGTAATATCTTCATAATTTCATGAAAATATATAAAGATAAACGAGCCATAATTATCAGTCTTGTTGATTAATCAAGTATCGAATTACCAAATTGCAAATTTTCATTTAATAAGAACTCATCAAATCATGACTATGACACTAGTATTTAAATGATTAAATAAGAAACATATAACAACCTAGTTGTAAAACAATAATACATTAATTCACTAACTTTTATAATCTACTTCGTAATACACTAGTAAGATCAATATGACTAAACTTGAAACAGAACATGATATATATTTATAAAATCAATGTGAATTTGTTTATAATATGATGCCTAAATATGAAATGATGAAGTCTTTACTTTATATAAAACTTGTTAACCAGCAAATACTATCAAATTTCAAACCAAAACCATTTAACTGCCCAAATCCAAACGACTCGATAAACAATTGATTTTTTGAAACCGAAAACCGACCCGAATCGTAATTTAGTAAACTCGGAATGGAACCGATCCGAATAACGTTAAACCGCAGAAGAACCAAACTAGTTATAAATTGAACCAAAAAAGAACCGGATCAGTTATAAACTGAACCGAAAAAAACCGAACCAGTTATAAACCGAACCAAAAAAGAACCGAACTGTTTCCAACCCGAAACCGCTTCCAACCCGAAACTGTTTGAACCAGGATAAAACTGTTTACACCGAACCATTAACAAACCGCAACCCGTTTGCATCGAACCGTTTACTACCCGGACTGTTTACAACCCGAACCGAATTAAAACCGATCAAGATTAAACCGAAACCGAATCGAACCGATAAATATTTAAACCGAACTGAAACCGACCCGCGAGACACTTAAACCGATTTAATACCGACCCGATTTAATACAGAACCGATTTCAAACCGAACCAAACCCGAACTGTCAAACCGTTTGACAGTGCTAGCTGTATATATACCTAGATTTTACTTCATATACTATATATATGATTAACTGCTCACGTTCTTGACTTTCTAATAAAGGATAAAGTAAGTAATAATAAAAGCACTTGCTAATATAATTTTGCTTGGTATGCATGCAGGCAGGAGGAAAATGGTATGAAGTAGAAACCGGAAGAAGAGATGGAGTTGTTTCACGTAAAGATGAAGCACAAGCAAATATTCCTCCACCAACAATGCCAGTGCCTCAAGCCATAGAATTGTTTGCTAGGAAAGGACTCAACAAACATGATTTCGTCGTTCTTTTAGGTAAATATTATCATTTGTAAGAACTTATATTAAAATCAAGTTGTTTCATAGCTAATCTGTATACATTGTAATTACGGGTGGACATACTGTTGGAACTGCACATTGTCACTCATTCAAAGAGCGTTTATACAATTTCCGAAATACCAACAAACCAGACCGATCCATTAGCCCATCTCTTCTCCAACTTCTGCAAAAGACATGTCCTCTTAACAGTAAAACTGACAATGAAACATTCCTAGACCAAACAACAAATAGCCACTTCAAGATTGACAATGCTTACTACAAGCAAATTCTAGCACACAACGGCGTAATGGAGATTGATCAAAACTTGGCATCAAATCCCTCTACTAGAGGCCTAGTTATCGGACTAGCCAAAAGTCCTAATCAATTCCTAGACCAATTTGGTCCGGCCATGGTCAAGATGGCTAGGATTGGAGTTCTCACAGGCAACCAAGGGGAGATAAGAAAATCTTGTGGTTCCGTCAATTAGTTAAAGTTTTATTTTCTCAATCCAATTCTAATTTTTGTTCTTTGTTATTTGTTATTTGTTGTTGTCGAGGTTGTCGTTGTTGTATTAATAGAAGGTGGGTCGTAGTTGATATGCATGGGAAGCTCCATGTGATAATGCGCTGAATTAGATTCATCATTGCATCACCAAGACAAAAAATGTAGGGACAAATTTTTGTTCACCTTTATATGTGCCTTTATTCTACGGAATAGTCAAAGAAGCTAAGTTTTTCAATTGTGTTTGCTAATACGTAAGTACGCGACACAAATAAATAGTGTTTTGCCTTTTGTTTTGCTTTCTAATCCTAATTTTCTTTTTTTAAGAAAAAAAAAAGAAGTTACGTTTCATTATATTTTTTGCCGTTTAGCATTTTTGAATCGACAATATCAAGTACGGAGTACAATATTATTAGCCTGCATCCTAACCTTACTTTACTCATAGGAGTGACTCACAAAATAATTATATGCAATTGTAGTGAAAAAAATCAGAAGCAATTTTTATTTCAATTTTCGAAACTCTTCCCAATATTTCCAAAGTAGATGTTATGAGAAAAATGCCCGTGTAATATAACTAATAACTAAAGATGGGTGTAGACTGAGCAGGTATATATGCGGGTGACAAACTTGACACAAATATAACTCGACATGGCACCACCATATCATAGCCATATAAACATGAGGATGATGAGCGAGTGTTAAACAAGTAATACTCGTAGAAACTTGAGGAAATGAGTTCTAATAATCTTACACATATTCTTACCAAAAATGAAATTTATTTCTTTTTATTTATTTTTTTATATTTTATTTTTTATTAATCTATATGTGGATGACGTGGAGGAAGATCCACTTCATAAAAGCAAAGTGTTAGTTACTTAAGGAATGTAATTGTTTAGGACACTTTTTAATACATGTTGTAGAAAATTAGTATACATACAACTTACAAATTTTCAAATTAACATTTATCCTCACATTCTGAGATTAGTGCCATTCATGACTTCTAGAGATTACATTAAGAATTTGATTGTGACCGAGGACCTAAGCCAAACAGTACGTCAAGCATAATCTACATGTATCGACTACAACTAAATAGTCACATACATCTTCCTTTTAAAGATGCCTTAATTACCAATTTTGGTCTGCCACGTATACTAAACCACATATTTGAACATTAACATAACTAATTATCTAATATATATCTTACATACGTATGTAGAATTAGCGAGCAAAACTGTATTTGTATAAGATATTTGAAAAATATTTATTATAACCAACTCAACAATAATATTTTTACATAGAAATGAGATAAGAAGCTAGAAATATTGATGCATGTGAAGGCAGTGAAGCTATGAAATAAGACAAGTAGTACGTGAAGCTAGAAGAGTATAATGCATGTGATGTTTTATTACGCCGTTTAATAATTATGTGTTTGGACTTTGGAGTAGTGTCCCTTTCCTAGCAGCTAGCTCAATAATTTAATTTTTATTAATTTTTTTTTTTTTTTTTTTTTTTGGTATGTCACAAATTAAATGCATTGGCTCTACTTACTATTCACCTAAGAATAATGCATTATGTCTTAATGGAAATGATGAAATTACCGTAGAAAAATTCCTAATCATATTAGTAGATGTCATTTTAAGGCTGAAAATGTACACATTAATTAATACATCATTCGTTGTGCTAGGTTATATAGGAATTTAGGATCAGATTGATTTCACTTCGAGTCATCAAGGTTCGAGCATTTAGGGTTTGCTAATCAAATATATATGACCAAGGTAGCTAGTTTTGTTAGGTTTAGAAATAATATGGCAGCAGACAACCCCTCTAACTATGCATATCATTTGAAATTAAACTACTACTCCATTTACGTACAATAGGGAAACTCTCAAAATTTATAGAAAAGTTGATTAGAAAAGTGCAAGCTATATATAGCTTAGATGCTTTACATGCAAATATAAATACTCCATCCGATTTTTTTTAATTGCAACTTTCATGAGTATTGCGATTCACGAGGCAAAAGTTAAGGGGTATGTGGTAGTGGGGTTAATTAAAGGTGATTAAAGTGTGTAGAGAGAGAAAGTTTGGCCCACCACTTAGGAAAGTAGTGGTAAAGTAGTGAGTAAAATACTTTAAAGTAGTGTGTAGAGAGAGAAAGTTTGGCCCACCACTTGGTAAAGTAGTGGTAAAGTAGTAATTTTAAGGGTTTTTGTTTACCCAAAATAGAAATAAAAATAGAAAGTTGCATTTAATTTAAATCGGACTAAAAATAGCAAAAGTTGCAATTAAAAAAAATAAGAGGGAGTATATAATCAAGGTAAGTTTTGAGCCAGCTATATGTAAACTAAAATACAATTTACCCAAATTATAATTTTATTTTTATCTTGTAAAAAATTAATAACAAAAGATAAAAGTTAAAGACATTCTTAGCAGATCATATGTGCTGGGATGAAGCCGTTGAACCGTTCAAACACGTACAATAATGATTACGCGAAACCCAAGTACTTTTGCATATTGATATAAAACCATATAATATACAAAATAATTCACATTTTGTCACAAATCCATGTGCCATTGCCCTTCCACCTAAGCCTAATTGCTAATTATATATTTTTAAGATTATAATTTTGACTTGGGAAAAACAGTAAATCCGTGTCAACTCTCTAATACAAGATCAATGAACTTAACCCAACAAATGAATAATAGCTAAATTAATTCATGAAGTCAGTAAGTATGTCTGTTTTGGGATGTACCAATCATACTTTTGGCATGATATAAGCCAAAATTATTCTTTCTAAAGATAATTAAGCTATAATAATGATAAGTAGTTGATGAGGGGATAATATAATTCACGTTCATAACATTATTCAACTTTGTATAAACTTATCCAATCATAGTACTAATATGCATATTATTAAATCCAATTGCTACAATTTTACTTTTAAGTATTATATATAGCTTCACTATAAATAAGGGAAAGTTTCTAAGCAATTCTCATCACTTGATTGATCACAATAATCACCTCATCTTTCTTATAGCTAAAAAAGTAAGGTACAAGAAATGATGAGGTGTACTTCTTCGGCAGCTTTAGCTCTAGGGCTCATTCTTGTGACCCTTATTAGCCCAAAGTTATGGGCAAAAAACTACAAGTTGGCTACTATAACGGGAAATGTTGGAACTACAATGTCGAAGAGATCGTTTTTTAACGTAGTTAAGGCTAAATTTGCTAGGGATCCAACTATTGTTGCTGGTCTCATCCGATTACAATTTCATGATTGCATTGTTAGGGTAAGTAATAACCTGTATTGATTTGGTGTGATTAATTTGGCACGGCAATAAACTAATCTTGTGTTTATTTCTTGTTAAAAGGGATGTGATGCATCAGTCCTACTCAATGGACCAAAAACAGAGAAAACCGCATCACCAAATCTTAGCCTTCAGGGATTTTATGTCGTGGACGCTGTAAAGGCAGCTCTAGAGAAAGCTTGTCCAGGAGTTGTCTCTTGTGCTGATGTACTTAATATTGCTGCTAGAAGTGCCGTCTTTTTGGTGAGTAATGTAACTCATTTAGTTTATATTAACCACGACCATTTTTTATCAATTTTATATTTATACAAATTTTCCATATATAATTGTAGTAATTAGGAGTATCTCTCTAAACAAGAAATAAACACAAGATTAATTAGCTTATCACCATACCAAATCAATTACACCAAATCAATTCATTTTTTGAATCAAATTATTAATCTAGCTTATCCCATACATTCAATTAGGCCGGAGGTAAATGGTATTTCGTAGAAACAGGAAGACGTGATGGTTTTGAATCACATCAAAGTGAAGCCATTGCAATCTTCCATCAGAAAATATGCAAGTACGTGACGCCGTCCACCTTTTTGCTTCAAGAGGACTAAGTAAGGAGGATTTTGTTGTTCTTCTAGGTACGTTACTTACTAATCTTTATCAAAATATTCTACCATATAACTATCTTAGTATGGGTACAACAATCTCCTGCACAATCGATATATAATAACAATGTCATCATTTGCACAGGAGGACATACTGTTGGAGCTACACACTGTGACAAATTTGAAAGCCGTCTATATAATTACCACAACACCGGTAAGCCAGATGCAAAGATGACTTCCAACATGCTCTACGCCTTGAAGAAGACATGTCCAAGGAGGAGTAAAAACCAAGTTTATTTCAAAAACAACCCTAAGAGTCATTATCGCATGGACAATACTTACTACAAGAACCTATTGGTAAACCAAGGAATTCTTGAGATTGATTCAAACATTGCAAGTTCTCCCTTGACCAACAGCCTTGTGAAAAAAGCTAGCTTATGCTCCTGGTTACTTCGAGAGTAGATTTGGTCCAGCCATGGTTAACATGGGCCGAATCGGTGTTCTCACCGGAAAGCAAGGAGAGGTTAGGAAATACTGCGGTGCGGTTAACCACCACAAACATTGACGACATTGCCAATTCCTTTCGTTTATTTGGAAGACATACATAAGCAATTCTTAATTCTTTTTGTTAATTTAAATTTACTTCGTTATTTTTGTCATAATTGTAACGTTTTTTTATTTTATTTAATATTTATAATTGAGTCTCTCCTAAAAAATAAGCAATAATGCAAGCTGGAGGAGATTCTAACTTTTATTTTAGCTTTGAGAGTTTTAATTTATATATAAACATATATACATAAAAAAAAATTTAAAAAAAATGTTGTTAATGTATTCGGATGATTGATTTACTTAATGTTCGATTATATCAAGTGATTAACATTATCTAAAAGTTAGAGATTTGATGCTCTGCAACAAATTAATGTCATCCCAACATATATCAATTCCAACTATTGGATTAATAAAAATAATCCAACAATATAATTAAACTTTGTAGGATATATAATTTAATTATAGATTAATGAGTATAAGACCAGATCATGATTGCAATAATATGACTTGTCTCCTTAATACCTTGCGGAAAAGCTGTTTGACAGTGTTAGACAATTGTGCTAAACCTTTTTTATTTTTTTGACAGGAGACAATTGTGCTAAACTATAAAATAATAACCGAAAGAAGGATTTTACAACGATAACCTAGATAAATATACTAATAAAACATAAACAAAATGTTCATTAAGCATCGTCAATCATTCCATAATCATAACTAAACGTGAAACTACAGCCAACATCGTGTCACACCATATGTTTATTATGTGTAGACTTTTGTCCGATCCAATGGATAAGTACGTCGAAAGTGTACGTGTATAGATTAATC